ATTGAAAGTAGATTCTTTGATGTCGAAAGTGTACGGTGAACAACTAGACTTAAAGTTGAAATCAACGTGTAAATTAAATGCAAATACAAAATTCAAGAGGACAAAAAAAATGCTGAAATTGCCGAGCAGCGTGAATACGTATACATGTGTCGTTGGGTTTTGTGCAACCGAGAACTTGGAATCTCGCCATCGGAAGGCAGAACTTCGAGAAACCCTTGGGCTTATTGAAATCGTCTGAATGTCTCGTGAATGTCAATACACCCTGGGGGGGTTCTAAATCTCCCTGTCTCAAAAATCGTCCATCCCTCGGCTCGGCTTGCCCCGCCTCGGGCGATTCTCCCTCCTACCGCGGGCGGACGGCTTTCCGAAGGGTGAAGAGTGCTGCACCTGCTACTGCCTGACTCCATTCGAGGAAAATGTGGAAGGCCGTGACAGCGTCCACGAAAGGAGAAATGAAGGGAGTCATCCGCGGTGTGTCGGCGCGGCTCGAGCTTCCTCGAGGGAATTCCCGCAGGCGTCATTGGAGAGTTTGCGGATCCAGTTCGCGAGGAAGAGCGAGAACGGGAACGGATGTTAAACCCCGCCCACTTTCGTTCCCGTTCCGCAAACCTTCTATCGACGACCGTCGTGCCGCATTGCGCCGGCTTTCGCGATCATTCGAAAGGCAGAGACAAATTATGCTCCATCCGCAAGTGCGAAGTGTCAAGGGGAGAACCCATCCCCCCTCCCAAAGCGAGATTCTATTTTTCATTCTTAATTCGCCTTAATTTGACAGTGCTTCCCGAATCTCGATTCCGACTCTGATTTATTTCGGCAATGCTTCGACCGAACTAAAATTCCATTCCCCCCCCCGGGTGTATTCGTGATTCCTCTTCCCCCTAATGGTAAAAACTATGATGGAAGCATTTCGAGACGATTCCAACGAACCCCCGGGTTTATCTAAATTATTTTTCCCACTAGGAGATTCAAAAGCCTCCCAGCTTCCACAAACCCCACGACATTTACAAAATTGAAATATTCATTTTAAAAAAAGTATACCTATTCAAAAAATTAATTTGGGCTTTACTTCGAACGAGGGAAGGAAGGATTTGAAGTCTAATTCGTTTCTTCCCAGGAGCAGATAATTCCTTTCCCTGCCAAGAGGAACTATCTTATCCCACGATATCTTTTGGATACGATAGAGGAACTATCTTATCCAAAAGGGACAGTGTTCAACATGAATTCACACACTGCATGATATGAAGCGAATACGAAGAATCGCAATGAAACCCGAACATCATTTTCCACATTTCTTTTATAGTGGGAAATGGACAGATACCACAGTACTTCGTGTCCGTGCACTGGCAGCTTGTTATGATTGTTAACCCTTTCAATGCTATTCACGTGTATACAAGTCCGCCACTCCAGATATGTACCATTCTTGGTCCATAGTGCAGTGTTAGTAAATCAAGTCAATCAGGCGTTCATCTGACATCAATTCACTTAACCTTCAGTTCCTAGAAGAATGTGCATAATTCAAGTATCATCTTTCTTAACACAGAAAAAAGCCTGAAATATACTCGCATGGGACGTGCCGCCTCGAAAAATAAAAAATCCCACCATTGAAAGGGTTAAAGGCATGCATAGGACGTTCTGAATCGGAGTTCGGTGAGCGAACCGGTACGGAAACAAAAGGGAAATAGTTTGATTCTATTCCTTTTGTTTGAGGTTGCCGCTGCTGTTGCATTCCGGCATGGCTGGAAACACCAGCTGTGCTGGGCGTTCCCTTCCTTCCCTCGACCGAAAAATTATTTATTGGGTGGTATTTGGTGCGATGCAAAATGTAAACACGATATCGGTAGTCTTCCATACGTTCCCGTGCGAACAAAACTTTTTTTTAAATCAGTGGGGAAAAAACAAGGAATGTCGTACTCGAGAGAACGAAGATTGGGACAGGCCAGAAAAATGCGAAGAAAGTTCACTCGCTGACATCCGCTGAGACGCAGATTCTCCAGAAGAGTCAGGCTTTTCCTCAGAGAACGGAAGAGCGTCTCCGCGTCCGCGACGAGAGAGAGGCTCAGGGTCTTCAGGGTCCACGGACGCCCCACGAGGATCCCGAGCAGGGTTCTCGCGTCCAGACCCTGGAGACTCAGTTCCTTCAAGTTTCTGCACCTCTGCAGCGGCTCGAAGAGATCCTCGGGGCCGGCGCCGAGCGGTCGGCCGACGTCGAATCGTAGTCTCAACGCGTGCAGATCCGGAAATCGGTCGACCAGGAATTCCAACGCCGGTTTCGTCGGCGATCGCAGCGGGGAATCGATCGCTCGAAGTTTCCCTGCCCGAAAGAAAAGCGTTCAAAATACCGGAAGCGAATCGCCGAACGAAGAGTAAAAGTCGCGGCTAGCAATGGCCCTTTTCGAGTGGAGACGAGAGAATTCCGGCGGGCAAGGAGTTGTTACCCTTGCGGGAAATCCATCTAAGGCGGCCTCCGTCGGCCTTCGCCTCATTCGCTTCCGCCGGAATCTCCTTTTTAAACCACTTCTTCCTTCTTAACGACTAGTTCGCCTTCGTTCGTCGGTGTTAGATCGATGGATTTTCGTCGGGAAATAGGTTAGCGTGTCGCGAACCCGGTATGGAAACTCGTTTGGTTTGGAGCAGGGCGAGGGCGACGCCGACGTCTTCGTAGCGGATGTAGGCCAGCTTGGGCAACGTCTCCAGGAGAAACGCCACGTCTTCGATCGCGTCTCGATTCGCGGAACCCAGATCCAGGTGGACGAGGGACTTGGAGCCGCTCAGAGCCCTGAGGACCCCCGGTTCGAAGGAGCAGCCCGAAGCGACGAATTTCTTCAGCTCGAGACTCCGTCGCCCCACCGTCTCGACGAGCGATCGAGGATTCGAGATCCCGGAAACGTTCAAGGTCGCCAGGTTCGGGAAATCTCGAATGCATTCCAGCAGGTGAAGATACGACCTCGGTCGCTCCGTCTCGGGCGGGCGCTCGAAGGCGTCCGGTATCACCAACCGTCGAAGATCGCGAAACAACGCCAGACTGAGGAGCACGTATTTTGCCGCGTCGCGATTCGATCCGACGTGCCAGACGCAGAAGTCGATCTCTTTCGCACCGGAATGGATCCAATAGACCATGGTCTTCAGATAGACCGTGGTCTTCGGGTGGACCCCGCTCGACCGGTTCCGAGTCACCCGAGTCACGACCGCCCTCATGTAATCGTCGCTCAAGCAAACCGGGATCCCGTTCACGTACTCCCGAAGACTCAGTCCCACCCCACTCAAATTCCGCGGGTGAGGAAGAGACTCGCGATATTCCCAAGGGGGAATCCCTTCGCTCGCCTTCAAAACGATCCCCGCCAGGACCCGCAAAGTGGTTTTCTCCAGGCTCTCTACTCGTCTCATGGCGTTTCCCGGGCAATCGATTATTGATCCCAGATTAATTCTGTTAGAATGATTAATGACGCCGAAGACCTATCACTCGGATCGGGATATTTGACACGCGCCGGGTCAATTTGTCACCGGATCTGTCAACGAGGACAAAAATCAAGAGTCCGCTCGATATCCCCTCGTTTATGCGTTCCTCCGGGGTCGGATGCATATTATACAGAGGACTTTCCCTCTAATCCCCCAGAAATGGCAGACTGCGTGACGTTGCCCAGGTCCCTCCGATTAGACCCTCTTTTTTTTTCCCTTTCTATTGCCTTTTTCTGAGCTCGGAATGGGAATGACTTTTCATAGTCTGGTCACGATGGCTCTGCCCCATTCATGGAAAGGACCCGTGACTTCGCCTTCTCCGGTCTTGTTTTCATCTCCTTTGACAACGGATGCGAATGGACGACAGACGACACGTACACGTGTCGCCGAGACAAATCCCAATCCCCGTCTCGGTCGTGAAGACAGGGATCAGGATGTGTCGGGGGAGGGGGGGGGGGGGGAGGGGGGGGGGGGGAGGGGGGGGGAGGGGGGGGGGGGG